CGGCGAGTCTCCCCCCGTTGGCGCGGTCTTGGCTCGTCTCTCTCTCTCTCTCTCTCTTGCGGTACTCCACGAGGTGCTTGCCGCATTCGTTTCGCTGCAGCTCGTTGAGAAGTGGGGGGGGCCCGCCGCGCCGCCGGAAACTTCCGAAGCCCAAAGAGATCCCATATTATATGATGTTGAAGAGCGCTGGGATTTTCTTCCGTTCTCCATTTTCTTGATCTTCTTCGGGGTCCGCTTTTTGATTCCGTTTGGGGGTTCTTGCTCGCGTCATTTTCGTTTCGATCGCGTCTTGTATTGCCGTGTTTGTCTGTTTGGGAGTGCCGTGTTTGATCCGTCGCGGTTGACCCAAAACCGAAAAGTTGAGAACGGGGGGGGAGGGAAACACCCCCAGAGCTTCTGACATCAACCAAGGTTCCCAGAGAGCAGAAGACGGCCGCCAGGGCTTCTCCAGACGCCCCCGCGGGAGGCCCAGGACGGCGCGAAGCTGGGCGACACTCCGAGCGGGCCCTGTGCCGGAACCCCCGGAAACGGCGCTGGTGCACCCCAAGACTCAGGAATCAATTATTTTCACCCACTCCCTCCCAGCCTTCTTTTTCATGATCAGATATCTTGCGGGCGTTGTGCCAGCGCCGCCAGGTCAGAATTGGATGGTTCTATGCGTCGCGGTTCGCGCCGGCGGCGCCCAATGGCTTCGGGCGCTAGATGAGCGTCCTGGCGTCGTTCGCCCAGCGCTTCAAGAGATTGCGATGCCGATTTCGCATGTCAGCCGAAGCCGTTTCTACTCAACTGTCGCCCCGAACGCGCGCGTCGTTCGCGCGGCCGCTGAGTGCCGCGGTCTCTCCGGTTGGAATGCACATGTTCCGCTGCGCTGGTCGCGCCCCAGCAATTGCCTGAGACCCCTGCGCACGGGGTCTGAGCCGAACAGACGCGGAGGCGCGTTGACATTTTGGGCGCCAACAGAAGAAATACCCCGGACGCACCGGACCGCAATGGCCCCGCGAAAGCCAAGCGGAGACCAGCGATGTCGGAATTGTTTCAGAGTGTTTCGAAAAAATGCAAGGGGCCAAGGCGCCGAACAACGCGTACACGGGGAAGTCCTTGTAGCCCCCCCTTCTGCAAAACACAGGCGTTGCGTTGGGCCCCCGGTCTCCCGCGGGCAACCCCGCCGCGCGCGGCCGCCGGGAGGGCACGGGCGCCGTTCGTCGCAGTGGAGCCTCAGACTCTGAATAAATCGAAGGTGGAGGAGAGAAATTTGGTTTGACGTGGGCTGTGCCGTGATAGTCGGATGGGTTTGATGCAGTGTGTTCTGGCGCATCGCGCGTGTTCGATGCAGGTGCGCTCGCGGTTTCGTTCCGTTTCTTCCTGTCCCGCGTTGCCCGACGCTTCGCGACAACACTTCTTGGGGCGGCACGGATGCCTCCCCGAAAGAGTTTTTCAGGAATGACAAAGGCGGCGGGCCTGAGTGAAAATTGTCCCAGGCGCCCGTCGTCCCTCAAATCCAAGAATGACCAGCACCTGCAACAATACAACATTTCTTCAAGGACGGCTGGATTGTCGCGGCGACGGCCACATAAGCAAGCGAGAGGGAGGGAGAGAGAGAGAGAGAGATACAGGGAGCGAGACAGACAAGGGAAGAGAAGGAGAGAGAAAGAGGCGCGAGAAGAGGACCAGGAAGGGACAGGCAGCACTAGAGCGAATGTTTGAAGCAGTCGCGCAGTGCAACCCCCTACTACAGGGGTGCCATTGCATCCTTGCCCCATCGGCCGCCCCAGCCCTTAGCCATGGGCCACGGGCTTCCAACTTCGCGTTGAATCTGGGCGTCAAAGGGCCGAGTATCATTGGAAAAAAGACAGCATACACATAAACGTTTCGAGTTCCGTGCGGAATTCTTTGATCAGCGTTGTGCCCGCCAGGCTACATTTCCGGCGCCGCCCATTGCGCGTTCCGCGCGCCAGGCCGGGAGGTCCAGCGCCGATCCAAGAAATCTTCGCGGATATCCGCGCGTTGCGTTGTTTATTTAATTATGTTCTACCCATCGGTCGTTGAAATTAGGTGTTGTTGGAGTCCCAGATTCCAGTCTATTTTAAGCGCCTTCCTACTTCAATGACCGAGTGGCTTCACCTTTCCCGCCCTCCTCTGGGAGCGGGCGGACACCCAATCTACATGCAACACCTTCCTATGTCATGTTTCTACCTGCTTTGTCCGACCGATGGGTAATCCATGCCCTGGGTATCGCTCGGACGTGTGCACTTTCTCTCGGCGGGGATTATTAAGGAGCATCCTCGATCATCCTGCGAGAAAAAACACGCACGAAACCGAACGAAACACAGGGAGTGGACCCCCGAGCGATGACGAGCGCCACGCATCCTTACGACCTGGAGGAGGAGGAGAAGGAGGAGGAGGAGGAGGAGGAGGAGCAGGAGGAGGAGGATGGAGGAGGATGGAGGAGGAGGAGGATGGAGGAGGAGGAGGATGGATGAGGTCACGCTGTAGTACGCCACTGTCGGGCTCTCTGTCGGGCGCGCGGCACCGCTGGTCTCGGATGCGCGGCGTTCCGCGTGCGGCGGCCGGGCAGTCGGCGGGCGCCTTGCGCCAGTCAGGGGAGGAGGAGGAGGAGGAGGAGGAGGAGGAGGAGGAGGAGGAGGAGGAGGAGGAGGAGGAGGAGGAGGAGGAAGAGGGGGGGGAATTGAGAAGGAGAAGGCCTCCTCAGGAGGCGGCGGGACTTCTCAGACGCCCTCGCGCCTTCCACTACAGCCAAGACGCTGAGATAAGGAATAAGGACCGCTCTGGGTTCGGAAGGGGCTCGGGGATTTGGGTCGTTTCTTAGATGTACGTCGCGGGACTTGCTTGTGGCCTGGGCCCACCGTGGCCAGAAGAGCCCCGCTGTTCCCTAGTTGGCGTTGCTTCTGGCAGTACCCCGACGGTACTCCTCCTCCGCCCCCTCTTCACCTACATACCTACTCCTCCGCCTCCTCTTCATCGTCACCGCTGCGTCGTCATCGATTCTTCGGACGACGTTTTTTTCTGTGCACCCGTCGCGCCCGCGCGTGCTGCGCTGACCTCCTGGCGGTGGCTCCGCGAGTCTGCGCGCGCGGGGCAGCGCAGTTCTGCGTGGGGCCGCCCCAGCTGAGGATTCCTTCCCAAACTGGCTGCAGGCTCCCCGCGCGCGAAGCGCGCTAAACGGTTTACAAAATCCACCATTCGGCGCGCGAAGCGCGCTAAACGGTTTACGGGCCACGGCGAGCGCGGCCACGGCGGCGCGGCCCCCGCCGCGGCCGCCCACCGCCGTGGCTCGAACCCGTCGTGGCCCGAACTCGCCGTGGCCGTGCCCGCCGTGGCCGTGCCCGCCGTGGCGGTGCCCGCCAGTAGTCCACGATCCGCTCGATGCAGGGAAGCACGATATAGCAGGGCATACCGCCGAGCCGCTGAGGAAGGAACCGTGTGCGTTGGGGAGTGGCTCTGTGTTCCTTCACCGTTGCACAGTTTCTCTTACGTGTTCCTTAGGCTTCCGACGGGAAGTCGAAGTTTAATGTATGGACAAAGATGCCTCGTTACTTATCCGGGGTTCCTTACGACAGCGATTCGATTGTAGACGGCAAACAGTCGGGCCGTTGAAGAAGGAACCCTTTTGTTGGGGAGGGGCTCGGTGTTCCTCGATTTCTTCACAGCCAGTCTCAGGTTCTCCTTGGGTGCTCTGCGCGAGATCGAATTTTAACTACTGGAAAAAAGGGGCCTCGTTCCTTACAGTGCCGTTTTTAATACATGCTCCGCGTGCGGATCATGTATTAAAAATGCAGGGGGTTAGTACTAAAAACAACGACGAGCGCATGCATACATTTATGCATACACTAATCATGTATTAAAATCTTATGTTTTGAGAAATCCTAGGTCTTAAACAATTGCCCTGTATTTAGGGTTCCTTGCGACAGCGCTTCGATCGTACACGTGCTTTCCTTCAGTTCCGCGCGGATGTCCTGAATCGGCGGCGTGTCCGCCCATGGCTTGTGCGCCGCCCCCGCCGCGCTCCGCGCGCCAGGGACGGGGGGGGCTCCAGCGCCACCACCAACGGAGGCACACCACATGTCCTCCGCTCTTTGCTTCCATGAGCTCGACGCTCGGTGACCCTTTCAATTCGACGCTTCAGCTAGGGGGCCAGGCGCGAGCCCTGCCCCTACCCCCCACGATTTCTGAGGGGGAGGGCGGGGCTCACTTCGTCCGCGAGCTCCCGAGCGGAGTGAACCCCACCCTCCCCCTCAGAAATCGTGGGGGGTAGGGGCAGGGCTCGCGTTTGGCCCCCTATCAGTTTCTGTCCAGTGGTTCAAGACATCCGCGCGGGCCTCCGAGAGGTTCTGCTGCCGCGGCTGCTGCGCCCCTCGGCGTAATTGCCCCCCTGGGGGGGCTCGCCCTCCAGTGGGGTTCTTCCTGTGGGCCACCTGGCGCCCATCGCGCGCGACCCGCCCGGGGTCTGCAGCCTCCTTGCGCGCTCTGTGTCTTCTGAGTGCCAACGTGCAATCTTTCGGGGGCGGCAAAGAGGGGGGTGATGACTAGGGGGGGGGATATCATGGCGGGGGCCATGGTATCTCCCCAGATTTCATGGCGCCTCTTCTTTTTTCATTACGTCCCTGGCCCCCCCGCTGGGCTACCTGGCGCCTCGCGCGACCCGCCCGGGTCCGCAGCCTCATTGCGCGCACTGTGTCTTCTGAATGCCAACGTGCAATCGCAAGGGTCATCCGAGGGTCATGATTCTGGGCGGCACGAAAAAACAGGGCTTCGGCCGAAGGGTACCGAGAGGTGCGAATGCCAAATGCACACTCAAAGCAGTTGCTCACGAGAACGGGCATTCATGACACTACTTATGTTAATCTACTCCTTTTCAATCCACATGATCCGGACAAACGTTTGCTTGACGCAAAGCTTCAGTCAGTCAGCCTTGGCGCCTCTCAGGCAACAGCATCCTCCCTCCTCCCTCCCCTTCCTACTGTGCGTGTGGGGGGGCGCAGGATCGAGATCACCAGCAAGAACGACATCTTCTTCCACTACGCCCATAGCGTTGATGCCCACGGCCGGCTGGGCGGGAGTATGAGTATGAGTATGACCATGTGACAAAGTCAATGGACGGCTGGGCGGGAGGAGGAGGAGGAGGAGGAGGAGGGAGGCGAGGTGGCCGATGAGCAGTAGGAGGGGGCGGAGGAGGGTGAGGAAGGCAGAGGGGAAGAGGAGGCGAATCGGAAGCAGCAAAAGGAGGAGGGGCAGGAAGACGGGAGGGGAAGACGGACGAAGGGAGGAGGGGAGGAAGGAGGGGCAGGAAGAGGGGGCAGGAAGAAGGGGCAGGAAGCAGCAGAAGAAGGGGCAGGAAGAAGGAGGGGAGGAAGGAGGAAGGAGGGGCAGGAAGAAGGGGCAGGAAGCAGCAGAAGGAGGAGGGGCAGGAAGACCGGGGGAAGACGGATGAAGGGAAGAGGAGATGGCGGCAGCGACGAGGAAGGAACCGCATCCACAGATGGAGCCCGCGCTTGGGCGAGAGCGCGAAGTCCGAGCGACGGGGGCACAGCGTCGAACCGGACGTGTGGCGAACACCGCACCAGGGGAGCACTACGTTTGCAGTGCTAGGATGGACAAAAGCACGCAGATGCAAGACGCCGTTGAATGTCCGGTGCATGGAGACACTGCGCGAGAGAGGCGGTGACACCGCTGGTCAGGACCGGGGGAGGGAGGAGAGCAGAAAAGCTCCAGACGCTTCGCGCAGCTCCACCAGCCCACCAAGAAAACGAAGCCCAGGCGAGCTGCGCCGACAAGGGACCGCGCGTCGCGCAGTGGGGTATGAAGAAAAATGAGGGTGGGGCGATGATCAGGAGCGAAAGAAGGACGTACACGTACATGAATCCACGCTGGTTTCGAGAGTACGCATTGCGCAAATGTTCGCATAACGTGGCCGGTCTCGCAGATCGAGGGGCCGTGTTCATGTAAATAGTTGGGTGCGTACGTCCTTTCTGGGCTCCCTAGATAAATGGAGTGTGCAGAAAGCCGCACCTTTCGTTCACCCTGGGGGCCCTGAAGGGACCCTCTGGGGCTCAAAGGGGGCACGGACGGTGCACGTGTCTTCGCCCACCCAGGAAGCAACACCCAAGGGAGAGCGTAGGAGCAGGCAGTCCAGCAGAGAGGGGTGCAGCGTCAAGCCGAAGCTCGGGACCTGGCATCGCTCGGACGTGCGCATGTTTTTCTCGGCAAGGATCCTGGAGGAGCATCCTGGACCATCGAGCAAAAAAAACACGAGCGAAACCGAAAAATGCACCGGAAATGGACGTCCGAGCGACGGCAATGATATCAGCCTGGGGCAGACCAAGTGGGGAGCGATAGAGTGCGACGGAATGAGGGGGGAGGGAGAAGGGGGATGGAAGTGCCCCGATCCCCGCCTGAGAGTCTGACGCCTCCAGCGCCTCCCCTGGCGCGCGGTGCGCGCCAGGGAGGGGGGTCCAGCTCAGATCCAAGAAATTCCCGCGGACCGTCAAAGTTTATGTTTCTGCAGTTTTTTTGTTTCTCTAGCTCCGGCGCCCCCCGCGGGACCCTTTCAGGGCCTTTGTCTTGCACGGTTTCCAGCGTGTGGCTCGTTCTGGGCTCCACGTTATCCTCAAGGACGGCTGTGCCTGGTCTTTCCGGGAGGGCCAATGGAGATGGGTCATGAGGGCCCGTGGGAGTGATCTTAGGCATGCGACAGGCTGGCGTGTTTCTGCTTTAGGCTCAGCCTTTTGTCGCACTTTCGGAGCCTCGGAGACGTAGTGGAACGCTTCCAGGAGTTCGCGGGTATCCAAGGTTTCTTTGCGGCAGTTCCGAGAAGTTTTGATTCCCAAGAGGGTCGGCCGAGTTCTCCGCGTTCCGTTTTGAGTGTTGTCCACCATTCTCTTTTCAGCCTTGTGCCACCGACCGCTCACATGCATGCCCAACTGCCGGCGTTCGCGTGCGTTCCTGCATCCTGTTCGGCCATGACTCGCGCAGGCCCATCATCGTAGTCGCATCGGCGTGGCTCCTCTAGCTGAGTCGGTCCTGCCTGCTGCTGGAGCCACCTGTCGTGTTAACATCGCATTCCTTGCGGCTCTGCCCGCCGCACCGCGTTCGTCGTCCGACCTCCCGTGATGTCCCTTCGGCTGCTGCTCCCCCAGTGCCTGGGCTCCCGCTGCGATCGGCCCTGGGCGGACATTGATGACCAGCGTCTCCGACGCAGCCCGTCGTGACAGTCTATGCGCGCATGCTGCACCACTTGAGTGGTGGGCCCCGGAAATGGCAGAGCTGTGCATCGAAAAACCGCAAAAAGGGTTCATCGTTACGGCCTGGGCAGTCCGGGGATCCGAATGACGTCCTGAACCGTTTCGACAACGGTTTGGGTTTAGTTAAGGAATGTGATTTGAATCTGGATCCCACTAGAGGAAACAACGACGGTAAAACAACGGCGCCAGAAAAATCGAACAATTGTGTCAGAAATTGTAGAAGAAATGGTCAACGACAACTGTAAACACAGTTGCCCTGTCGTTTCTTGGGCCCTTTCAGCTCTGGCATGCATCGCTCATCGCACATGTCTGCCTAGGTCCGCGAGCCGCTGTGTGCGTTGTCGCGCGCGCGCGTGCATCCGCAGGCAAGCATGTGTACGCGCCTATATGTGCACGCGTGCGTACAAAACGCTGCCGCTCTGTTCGGGCGTGTGCGGTTGCGTGGTGGGGGTTGGGGGTAGCAGGGTCGGGTTTGATTTGACTTATTCGGTATCCAGCTCAGCCAGTTCGTTCCGACCCGATTCGGGTTTCCCGATGGTTCGATGCAGCCCGATGCTTGCATGGCGCTGTCATGCATCCTGGCGCGGCCGATCCGATCCGTGGGCGCGCCGGCACTGAGGGTCGGGACAGGCTTCCGCTCGATGCAAGACCAGCAGAAGCTGATGATCGAGTTCCCCGACTACCTCTCGGTCCTGATCAGAATGCTGAACAGCTGCATCATGGAGCGGCAGCCCGCCTCACTTTAAACGGAGAAGGTTAAAGGCGAGGTATAAATCGAGCATGTACCGCTGCCGTGCCTGGCTCAAGCCGGGCCCGGCCTGATATGTGACTGTGCCTCACCGAGGCGCACTACTTGCATCTGAGATCGGAAAACATCCTTTCCATTGACGATGCCCATCTTACTCTTTACTCCAGATCCCATGCTTCGTCTCGCTCTCTTGCTCATGCGATATGAGCCAAAGCCTGGGATATGGGAGCGCCTAAGGCGGACTACATACCTAAGCTTACCAGCTTGTTTTCGACTTGGTAGCGGAGCTGGCTACACTCTCGTGTGGCTGGCTCTCGCTCTGATTCCTGTAATCCACGGCACAACTTGGTGGACTACTACTACGGTGGAATACCATGTTGCGCCGGCTCTGCGAGGAGCGGAGCCAGTCCGCGATCGAGCTAGCGGGGCAACCCGCGAACTCGAGACGCTCTCTCCGACTTCACTGCGCTACTTCACTCCCGACTTCCACCAGATGCCAATCGGCAACTCGATCGAGAACGTGGTCACCCTGCGGGGCTACCCGCAGCGGGGCCACCTGCATCCCGTGCCAGTCAGGCGCCTCACGGCTACTACGCCAGAGCCTGACAAACCACAGCCTAAACCAATCACCGAAGCCGAAATGCACATGCATTGGATCAAGATAACTATATTCGGCATTCTGTGGGTAATAATGGGATGTGCTGTGGGATACATGCGGCAGGGGATGGACGACACGCGTACTACTGGCCCTTCATGGGACCCTGCCGGTACTACGCCTTTTCGCGAATACGTTCGCGAAGTACATGCATGGTTAAACGTAACGAGTGGCAATATGACACCACCACAACAAGCTGCAGCACTACAACGAGGCCTTCAAGGTCTGGCTCGTCGTATCGCCATGCAGGTCCCCTCCCAGATCATCAATTATGGTGTAACTGTCAATGGACAGCCAACGGATGCAGTAACCTACATACTGTACTTACTGAGCACCAAATTTGAAAATCTGGAAGATGAGCGCCAGCTCAACTCTGGCACTGCCCTTATCGACTTCCGCGTTGAAAGGGGCGAGCGAATCGACTCAGTATTAGCTCGATTCGAGATGGCCCGTGACGAGGCCAACTCTGTTGGCTTTGTCATCCCCAACTTTCAGATCCTAACGCTGATTCTTTTCAGAGCGTTAGGCGTTGGCGCGTCACGAGCCCAACACCTGCTCGAGCCCTTCAATCATCAGATGCCCCGAACACAAGCAGACTATGACAGGCTGTTGACCAGGATGAGGAACTACGGACATGTTGCCGAGCGCTCTCCTGGTAACATAGCGGGTATCTTCACAGGGCACCACTCACATGCAGGTGTTTACGCCACGACTGCGGGGTCACCCGCTGGTCCTGGCGAGCCAAATCCCTGGGCTGACCCAGCCGATATGCCCAACGAGGCCACTGCCCTTCTAGGGCAGACCGGCCAGGTATCGGCAGAGGCAGCTGAGGCAAACGCCTGGTCGAACTACTCGCCAGGCGCCGCCTACACTGCAAGCCCGCCCTCGGGCACAACCCTCTGGGGCCAAGCGGAGTCATCCGCTCAATGGTCTCAGCCACCCTCACCGTTTGAATCTGGCACTGACACAGATACCTCATCTGACGATGAGCACAATGGAATAGTCTCTGCTGGTAATGACTATCCAGCGGATGACACTCACCTTTCTGAACAGCAAAGGGCGGAAGCCGCCTTTATGGCTTATCGCAAATCAAAACGCCGTTGGAGGCGCTTTATGAAGAAACCAGTCAGAAAGGTGAGACGTGCAGTACGCCGACATTTCAAACAATTTGGAAAGGGTCGTGGTAAAGGGGGTCGCAGACGCCGTATGCATGGTAGGGGTATTACTGCTTTCCTCACGTCCTTAACTGATATGGCTTTTGAAGAAGTTCTTATCGGAGGCAAAGGTCGGGGTCACAGGCGGACCTCCGGTAAGGGAAAGGGGCGGAGGGGCAACCCTAGGGACGCTTCTGGTAATACTATGAAGTGTCATACATGCGGTAGCACAGAGCATTTGCGCGATCAATGCCCGAAGGGGAAAGGAAAGGGATCCGTACACTTGGCTCAAAATTCTTTTATGGATGACATAGATTACATTGACTACGAGTTTTACGTCAATCCAGAAGCGGCTCCCGCTGCGGGCTCCTCCACGTATTACGTGATGGCCCGCTATGCTGAAGCAACTGTGGCCCTGGAAGACTACGCAGTGACCCTCTTCGACGAGTTCCACGGCTGGGACGAGGTCGATGAGATTGCGTACAATGCTTGGTTCGGTCTTCCAGCGGGGCCACCCGCCGGTGACGAGGTCTCCGAAGCCGAGACTGTCCCGGCAACAGAGGAAGAACTCACCGCCGTGCTGGCCCCACAAGTGATTGGCATGCCGTTGCTGCCAAATCCGTCGTGGGCTGGTTCGGAGATGGGAGACGCCGATGACGAAATGCGGGGCCATCCCGCGTATTCCGATTCCGAAGAATCCGAAGAAGATTATAACGACATGCTCCAAGGACAGGTTTCAGAAGCAATTCGACTCTTGAGTGCGCCAGCACAGCAGCAGATGACGATGAACGAACTGCTGTCACACCCAGGAGTTGCCCGTCTACGTCCATACTTGGATTCGAACATGTCAGCATCTCAGATGCTTACAGCACTCCAAGCTCTAGCGGGGTCACCCGCCGAAGAGATGCTAGACACAACAGCGGGGCCACCCGCTTGGTCTATGGATGTATTCATGCAAGGTTGCGATCAAATGAACATTAACGACCTCTCGATGGAGCAGTTAAATGACATCGGATACTTCAGAAGCCCGTATCAAAACGTGTTCATGGTCCAGGACAGCTCAGAGGACTCGGAGGACATGCGGTACGCCAAGAGGGACAGGCGACCGTCGCCTCCCCGAGACTCAGAGCATGACGATCAAAGGCCAGTGACACGTGGTAGTGCGTCAGCGGGGCCAGCCCGCGGAAGGAGCCGCTCAGCTCCTAGACGCCCTACGCATGATGAATCGGGCTATCCATACAGCACTGAGCACTCCGTTGGAGTATCTGCTCAGCAGGTGCCGGATTGGTACATCAGATGGTACCCCGGCTACTCTATGGATACTCTTCGGCACTGGTATTCTAAGGAATACTGTACCAAAAGGGACGAGACTGGCGCGATAATCCGTACCAAGGGCGGCAAGACCAAGACGCCAGAGGCCTGGGACAAAAGGGCGAAGAAGCAGGAGATCATCACTGACCGCAAAACGTACAGAAAGCAAGTATGTCAGTGTGAGCCCTTTAAAGGCCACATGCGCAGGTGTCCGATGGACCGCCCCTCCAGGAGCCCTCACCATGGAGAGACCCCGTGGAATTGGTCTCATGGAGACGACGCGGGTAACGTCCATGATCCGAACAAAGAGGTTCCTGGAGGGGGAAAGCGTATCACAGAGGCCGATCGCGTCCCTATGACCGAAGAGGTGGCCAACACCGTCAAGGAAAATTGGGCAAAGCTTCCCAATGACCACCGCCTCAAGGAATGGAACCGCCGATTCCATAAGGAAGCGGGGTCACCCGCAGAATCCAGTAAGGAAGCGGGGTCACCCGCAGAATCCAGTAAGGAAGCGGGGTCACCCGCAGAATCCAGCAAGGAAGCGGGGTCACCCGCAGAAGCAGCACCAGCCGCTGGATCTGCGGACGAGTGGATAGACGTTGTCTCTGCTGCCGGGTCCGCCGCCGGCACTGACCGCACCGAGCTAAATGAAGAGTGGGCGGCGGAAGACGGCTCAGAGAATCCATTCCCTGACGGAAGCGCCTGCTGGTACTACAGTTCTTCGGCGCAGAAGTGGTTCTGCACGAGGGTACTCTACCGCCACGAGAATGGCAAGTACAAGCTGGCCATAAAGGGTACTGCCGACATCGACCAGATGAGGCAGGTCATCCATGATCATGGCCAGCCAGAAGGCCCTCCTAGAGACCCTCCTGGTCCACAACCGGGCAGGGGCAGCAGACCACCTCCAAGACCTGAAGCCGACTCCTCGTCTTCACCGACTCCGGCAAAAAGGCACCCGTCCAAGAGCCCCGAAGGCACACAGGGGCGGGCGAAGGCCAGAGGGATCGCCAAGACGGACGACCCTGAGCCGGTGAATCCTCCCGGTCTGTCCGTGACGGAGAGGAGGAAGGCTTTTGCTGGACCATCGACCCCGATGCCGCCGGCGACCCAAGGCGATGTCAAGGACGAAGCTCGCGACAAGCCTAAGGCAGCGTTCCGAGGTGACTGGACTCCAACACTGCATCAGCCACGCCTTGCACCACGACCAGGTTCGGCACGAATGAAAGCGCAGCCGAAGCCCGAAGCTGGGATGAGGTCGGTGCGGGCAGAAGCGGCCGCCAAGGCTAAGGAGGACAAGGGCTCTGCGGGGCCACCCGCTAAAGCGGCGCCAGCCGTAACAGCGGGGACACCCGCAGAAGGCACTCTCTCCAGAGAAGAACGCTTCAGAGTCCTCAAAGAGTTTGGCGACCAACAGAAACTGACTGATGATGCAGCTGCTGACAAAGGTCGCCAGAACCCTGGCGCGGAGTCATCTGCAGGAGCTGCCTCGTCAGCCGCAGGTTCTGCAGGGCCACCCGTTAAAGCGGCGCCAGCTGCATTAGCGGGGTCACCCGCCAAAGCGCCGCCGGCTGCACTAGCGGGGTCACCCGCAAGCTGGCAGCCAATAATGTCTGTTCTGAGGGTCATTCCTTTGGAATGCAAGTTGTATTGGCAAGGCATTGTAGACAAAGGCCCGAGGCAGCCCATCAACCCACGAGTCACTCCAGACGACACGGACCGATATGAGGTCATCAATTGTCCGGTTCGTCGTAATTTCAAGTGCCACAACGACTGGGAGCGCGAACAGCAGAAAGTGGGAAACATGCTGCGAGACAGGCCGCCACTACGCGCTGCGCAGCATAAAGAAGCACTCCT